GTGTGTTATTACTTTGTATATTCCCACTGTGAATAGATAAAGTATGGTTTTGCAAATCTTTATTTTGAAATTAATATCTTAAGCAAATCGTTATTATTAATGAACACCCACAAGGCTTGTTGTGTTTGTATGTGCATGATTGCTACAAATCTGTTCAGTAATAGGAGGAAAAATAATTACTCTTTTAAATGGAATTTTCTAAGGTATTATGGAAAGTGTCAACACTTGAAATACAAGTGTATTTATGATTATGCAATGTATCATACTTCAGATTAAAAAAAAAAAAAAAAAGAATAAAAAAGCTTTTGGGGTAGAAGGATTTTCAATTAGACACAATAAACTGCTGGTTTGCTGCCTCAAGAGCTCCTCAGTACCACTAAATCCACAACAAAGTAATTACTTAATAGTAATTTGTGATTCCCAACAGAAGTAATCCACTTAAGATTCCTGTGGGTTGTAAATACATCATCATTTTGCTGTCTATCTACAAAATAGTATAGTCATATGAAACAAACTAGAGGATTTCACCATTTTTATGAGATAAAAATCTCCATCTATATTTAAATTGAAATTTAAAAATAGAAATTTGAATATTGAACTGTTTGAGTTGAGTGATCATCTTCTGTCTGTTTTACCCACAGACAGATACTGTTTATGAACAAGCAGCTGTAACACTTCAAAGACTCGATTAAGAAAAAGATCTGTAAGAGCTGTAAAATACTTTCTTCCTCTAAGGGAACAAAAGAGCTGGGGCCTGACTATAGTTTTGTTTTAATCAATAGCAAAATTAGTCTTTATTTCTAACAGCACAAGGTGTCATTGTAAATAACCAGTGGCATACATGTATTAGTAAAGGGGCATTTTAACATCAGGAAAGATCACATTTTTTTCACTGCTTTGGAAATTTTAGCACAGTCTACATTTCATTTTTTCACTTGCATTTGCACTGTCATAAATATTAAAAATATTATCAACCATTTAAAAAATTGGCAGAGGAGAGAAGCAATTAAATGTGTAGTTGTTTGTGTAACAATTTTTCACTTTCTCCTTAACTCTATGAAGATTTAAAGGGGACAGCATTTGGTCTCATGAATCCAGAGTTGGATTTTACGGGGGGGGGAAGATAACACTGATGGGCAAAGTCTCTGCAGGTTTTTACCATTAAACCCCTGCCTGTTTCAAGGGCTGCCCACAACACGAGTGGTCTCTGAGTCAGCCAGCAAACCCACAGCAGGAAACACTGTTCATGTGTTTGCCCCTGTCCTTCCCAAAGGGGAGGCAGGTTGTTGCTCAGGCTGTAGAGAGGAAATGGCAGCAATAGAGATTTAAGCCATTCACATCTCATAGTCTGTTCTTCCTTCCACTCTGGGCTGTTTGTGCTTATAATCCTGTTAGAAAATCATGCTGTGAAATCAATCCCTGAATATACCTGACTTTAAAAAAGCCTCATCTGCCTTGTAGAGGAAGAAAGGAACTAGACACCTAAGACACAATAAAATATAATGTAACAACATAATAATTAAACAAGTATTAACAAATTAAGGCTCAAAGTGGCAGTAATTGAGCTGTTTTAGCATCAAGTGTCTTGATGGGGCATCTATATGATCAGGCCATTTCCATCACAGATCTTTTCAAGCTGGAATAGCATTATGACTGTAATGATGCTGCTGCTACAGAAATGACACAAATGTAACAACTGACCCATAGTATAGTATGAAATACGTGACCATATTAGAGGTTAAAATACATATGTAAATTGAGCAGTGTAAGAAGGGCATAGTTGAGGCAGGAATTTTTTTTTTATTGGAGGAGCTGGGGGAGGTTCAAGGCATTTTTCTCCAAGGTCTGATCTTTGGTATTTGACACTTTCCTTGCTGTTACAAAAGTAAAGAAGTTTGAGTAGGAAAGAGAGAAAGCAAGAAGTCAGTACATTTTGCCTCTTAAAGAGTACTGGATATCAGTAACACCAGAGATTTAATTCTCTGTTTACATTGTGCTGTGCACTCTTCAAGGAGCCCCATAATAGCTGCTTGTTTTATGTAACCCTTCAGAGAGCCAAACCAAAGCAAGAAATACAGATTTATCCAAGCCCTGTCTCTTGAACAGTTCCTTGCCCTAATTGGCAATGCTTTAGTCAGGCAACTTTTGAACTCTTCTTGGAGTTAACTTATGTTTCTCATTAAAAAGTCTCACTCCAGCTGAAAAAAAAAAGAAAAAAGAAAGAACAAAACAATAATCAAAATACAGACACAACCAAGCTCTTAGTGCTTTCTTGCAGCTGTCAAAAGCACAGATGAAAATCTGCACTGGACAGAAGAGAACTGTTTTTTAAACCAGTCTAAAGCTAGCAAAGCTTGTATCAGTCTCTGTAGCTAATGGTGCATAAAAGTGATTGTTTTGAAAAGAACTGTGTCTGTTTAAAATATTATTGCCTCTCTCCCAGAGGATATCACCCACACAGCAGAGTCAGCAGACTGAAAACTTAGATAATTCTAAGCTGCTTCAGGATAAAGTCCAGTGTTTAAAGCATAAAACGCCAAGGGAAGTGGGGGCAGCTTGAGTTAATCTCTTGGGCATTGCACTCAACAGCTCAGAGACACTGGAGTCCCAGCCTGCCACCAGGGCATTCTTTGGTAGGTACAAGGAGCTGGGGGCAGCAGCGTCTGAAACAGCCACAGCTGCCTTCTCAGTGCACATATCTGAGCCCTGAGCACGGGTTTTACCTTGCTATTTTGGGTACAGTTTCACAGCATGTGGACAAATGGTGAGGTCTTAATCACTAAGTCAAATTGCTAATACAGAGATGACTGGGAAAGGAAGATGAAGAAGGTCCTGAGGAATAAACATGCTGTCTGAGGAACTTCAGATTTAACTCCAAGTTTTGTACGTGATGTCACCGAATCTTAGGACATTGCTCCCATATTTTCTAACTCAGTCTGCTCTAGGCAATGAAAATTTGACCACGCTATCACTAACTCTTAAGTGCCAGGAATGTATAGGAAAAAGGCTTTACTTGTCTGAATCCATCTACCCTGCACTTCTTTTCCCTTGGTAAGAGATGTGTAAGATGTAGTGGCATCCTTGATCCATTAATGGTTAGAGAGAATACACCTCAGTGACTTAAGTAATCTCCTGAGATATTAAAAATTCTGCTCTTTGGTGATACTGACATTATGACCTGACCAAAGAAGCCCTTACCAGGCTTTCTTTTTCAACATACAATCCACTTTTGCAGCATTGCGTGTCTCCATACATCCTAACATGAAGCTATTTGTAAACCAGACTGGAATGTTATTTCAGGCAAGTCAGTGTGTAGCTCCTACACGCAGCAACAGCCTTCTTTTCTTGGCAATACTCACTGTGCTATTGTTTTTAAAGCTTTGGATTCTGTCTCGAAACGCAGGCCACTTCGAATTTAACAGCAAAACCTCCGCTGAGTTCAGTCTGATCTGGATTTCAAGCTAAATACCTGGTGTTGCTAATGTGGGATGTGGTGAACTAGATCATCAGGTTTTTTATGGCCACAGCAGATGTTCCTCCTTCAGACCAATGGAAAGCTACCAAACCTCACCCACCCTCTGAAAACAAAAACACGAGCGTTTGTTGACAGTTTGATGCCAAGAACATGGATTGAATTAGCAGCTGCAAAGTTTCTTCTTGCTGACGTACAAACACACACACGCACAATCCCTGCTCTTCCCCAAGAACCACGACCGTATTCCCTCTGGATAGTATTTTTATCAGCCTCCTTACGCGTTAGAGCTTGTTTAGCACCAGCGTGGGATTTTTTTACCTTGTTTTTTAATGCTTTTCCCCCCCCCCATCTTTCATCCAGCAGAGCAGAACAAGGTGTTTGGGATCCGTGCGTTCTGCAGAGAACAGCTCAGGCCCGGAATGACACCCCCC